TCTCACTTTCTCCATCTCATTGGCAAACAATGATCAGGAATGAGATGATATTCTTGTAATATGGATTTGAAGTTTTGCATTTTATTAAGAAGAGAATATTTATATTTAGGACATGGCTTTGGGGACCTCTAGGCTGTTTTCCAGTATCTTGTTATATCAATTCCTAACATGTATTAATTCTGATTAAATGATAACCAATGTATTCAAGATGCCAAGTCATTGGTGACCCAACTTCTCTATGTTAATACTAAATAAATTCAGCGAGTTTCCTCAAAAATGTATTTAAATGATGATCATGAAATCACCAAAGACTCTAGTCACCATATGACTACTTGTACTTAGTTCAAAATGATGACACAGTTTTCAACATCCAAGTGTTTTTCTTCCTGGCGTTTCTTGGAAGGTCAGAGGGCAACTTGTTCACTGCTCTCATCTCCTCTTTTCAAAATCACACCTCTTCCAGAAATATGGATTTTCCCACTAAGGCCCACCGGCTTCAGCAGTTACTGGAAAGTCAGCACCTGATGAGACGATGATAAACATTGAGGGCACACTGGTAACCTGGGTTATTTTGGTCTTCCCTCTGCTTACTACAGCCAGAAGAGAATGCCTCATTGAAACAAGTCCAGGTAATTACAAGAAAAGGGCTTCATTTCAGCAGTCATAACGTCAGATTTTGTAAACAATTGACTTTGCACATACATATAAATACGTGTGTATTTGTGTGCATGTACATGTGTGTGTGCACATATGAGCAATTTTTATGGAAAACTGGTTTTGGGGAAATTGTAATAGGTTTTGTTTCGGGATACAAATTCTTACAAATTGGTAGCCGATGGGCTGAAAGCGTCACAGAACTTGGCTTAATTTGTTCTGCAATGTGCTTTATTATTGTTGTTATTATTTACTTAACCTTTAGAAATTAGGAGGTTTCACACGGAATTTCAGATTTCCAGTTTCCCCTGAAAAATCAGGAGACAGTGTAAGAAATTGTGTGCAGTTCAAGCACTGGCGACGCTGTGATTTTAAACTACAAATGGCAACAATTTAAAGGCTTCATCCTCCCTGATGCTTCTCTTCCGTATCAAATGGTGGAGGTGGTAGGCACTGAAATGCTTACCCAGAATGCTCCCTGGCTTAATGGGGCATTACATGCCATCTTATTCCACCTGTAATTTCCCCCTAATTTCTCTGTTATATCAATTTTCCCTTCATAAAGTTTTGCACATTTGGGCCTATTTTTCTCCTCTCCTTGTTATGACTTTTACCCAGGACATATTTTCTCACTTGGGGTTACTGAATTTGTTTCTGTCATAGCCATCACCAGGCTTGCTGCCTAGCCTTTCCTCTGCCTGCCCCTGCCACTCTGCAGACTAGTTATGAATTCATGTGCCCTCAGCATGCTTCATCCCTGGGCCCCGCCCTTGCTGTCCCTGTCCGTTGTCCCTCTCATTCTGTGTTAATTACAGGAAGAGCTAGCCAGTGTGCCCTGACCATAGCACAAAGCAGGCATCTGCCCTCTGATGACTCTGTTCCCAGCATTCCTCGTGCCACCTGTGCAAATAGATAGGGACCGCCTTCAAGACTGGCCGTTAGACCACCTTGGACCACAATTGCACAAGATAGCTCATCGTGCTGGCTACATATTTCAAAATCATATTTTGTTGTTCTGATTGTCTTAAAACAGGTTTTCTCTGAGTATGATCCTTGGATATCTTACCTCAGAATTACCTGTCTTGCCTCTTAAGTATTTATTCCTGGGCTCTTGAGTTCCTTAAGTTGGGACATAGGAATGTGATAGAGCTACAGTCTGATCATCTAGAATTTAAAGACAGCATGACTAATAGTGATAGAGGCCTGATGCCTGGATAGGCTATAAAACAGGATTCAATTACATTGACAGGAGTGCATTTCAGGTCTGCAGTGGTTTCCCAAACACTATTCACCTTAATTGTTGGTAATAGCTCTGGGTGTGGCTGTAACCAGCTCTCTGGTGCCCTTGCTGAGCCCATCGCCCCCATGGTCCAGTGGACGCAGAGTGGAAGGCAATCAACGCCTTGCCTTTCAGGCAAAAGCCAGCCAATGAGATAGGAAACTTCTCGAGTGCAGGACTGTGTTTCTTTCTATTTTTTTCCTGCCCCTCTCATGACTCATCTCCAGGAACACATGGTTCATAATGCTGAGTCTCATTGGACAAATGGAGTGAATGTTTGAAGATGGAAATTAGAAAGGACATTAGCATCCAGGTTGGCAATGATGGTGATGACTCATTGGTCGGATGCACACCCTGAGGTCCGCACTGGATTCATCCAGTGGGTGCTTTTACTTCAACTCTCATCAGTGAGGCATTGCTATGATTCTCTACTTTTCACCAATGGGGAGTGTTCAGCTAGAGTTGCAGAGGGAGGAAAGAGGCATTGTGATATGAGCAGCAACTACTTTTGTCATTCATGAAAAAATTTGAACAAATTTAAACCATCTATTTTACTTTTAAGGGGGGGGAGAGCTGATTAATAATCATTGGAAAAATCAATGTGGTAAAGTGGTTTAAGGCAGAGTATAATTTGGAGCTGGAAGACCTGGGTTCCAGATTCAGTTTGCCATTTAACAGCTCTGCAAATTTGAGGACGATCCAAAGTCTTTCTGAAACTATAAAATGGGAACAATGTTACTGCATATCAAGTTGTTGCAGGGACTAAATGATGAAATTTATATAAAATACTATAAAAATATAGAGGACTCTTACTATTAATGATTGTTCCAAATGTGAATGAGGATCTCAAAAAATATAACTATATTATTTTGAATCATGCTTCAAAAGGGGGGGAGCACACAAGAATAATGAAATCTCATCTCCACAGTCACTCAAAGCAGGTGTCACCATGCGTCGCTGAGGCTGAGCTTCGGGAGGCTCAGCAACACGCCAGAGTCACAGCCCAGCTAGCAAGGAGCTGAGCTGGGATTTAAAAACCACACCTGTCCAGCTGCAAATGCTCGACTCTTTCCAATGTGCCAGTTTGCCTTTAAAAATAAATAAATAAGCCAACACGTATACTTTTTCTTAATATTAAAAAAAGGGATTGATGTTTGAATACTAGCTCATTCTGATGATCCCCTATTAAGATGTTCCCTATTAAGATGTTGCCGTTGCACAGGTTGTTGGGCTGACTCAGCATGCTATCAGCACACGTTGGCAATGGGTCAATGTTGTTGCTAGTATTGATCTGGTGTTGTAGAACTTCCTTGACGTATATGTTAAAGACTCCCATGACCTTAGAATGAAATTTTGAGGAATGGCAACTACTTAGGAGCTGTTTCTTTACGATTGAATAAATTTATGAAATAATGTAAAAGGTACACCCATTTCAATAAAATATCAAGTCCATTTACTTTAAAAGACATCTAGAATCTGGTTCAATTTCTTTTTATGAAATATGTTAAACATAATTTGAACATAGCTTAAATGAAGTGTCCAAAGGGATAAAGCAGGTCACCTGGGAAATTGGCTTTTATGGATTACAAGAACTTAATGTCGAAACTGTACCTAATGGACACACTTTCTTCAAAAAGAAAATACTTCAGTAAACAATGGACTGGTCTATCCATTTCATCGTTGTTTCTATATGAGACTGTAGAATGGCATAATTATAGCAAAAGTAAATAATGTAAACATCGCTATCAGTAGTAGTGAAGAACACCTTTGTCTTCATGGATTTGGAGTTCACAGGAAATGCAAAGGGAAATCTTTGATCCAAGTTCAATTTTTAATTTCACAGTTTTTTAAATGTTCTATTTAAACATCTCTTAATAAAGAGAAGTTGGAGAATTTTCTTGCCTGTGGCTTTTTGAAGGAAGTGATTCTGAGAATACTTCATGTCTGCACCAACTTTTATCCTGAAGCAGAGCTCTAGCAGAGAGGAGCTCCAGCTATGAACTGTGATTCGTGGGGCATGGGGCAGGTCACGCCCTGCAAGTAATTTAACATCTTTCCTTTGAAATGTTGTATAAGGTCGTGGTTAATTCAGATGCCCTGGAGTCACACACTTTGGGATCGAATTCAGCTCTGTCACGCTTCCTAATCTTATCCTCTTAGCCCGTTACTTCAGCCCTTTGTGATTCTGTTTTCTCCTCTGAAAATTAGGAATAATTACTGTTGCACAGGTTGTTGTGATGACTCAGCATACTATCAGCACACATTGGCAATGGGTCGATGTTATTGCTAGTATTGATCTGGTGTTGTAGAACTTCCTTGACGTATATGTTGAAGTCTCCCATGACCTTAGAATGCAATTTTGAGGAATGGCAACTAATGAGGAGCTGTTTCTGTACGACTGAGTAAATTTATGAAATAATGTAAAAGATACACCTTTTTCAATAAAATACCAAGCCACTTTAAGAAACATTAAGATGTTCATAAAATGAAAAGATTATAAAATGAAACCTTCTAGTAAATAATCATGAGCTGATACATATTTTCAAAAGCGCACAAAGTTGCTCTCGTCCTAGGAGAACATATCGATTTGTGTGTGTATTTCCAGCAGCGCCTTACGCACACGGTGCCTGTGGCCAGCCGCTCTCCCGGGGGAGGTGGCCCCTTTAATTGCAGTGAATGGCGATTCTATTTGTAGACATCACTTCCTACAGCACGCCTTCCTTGCTGTGATTATTATTTAGAAAATTCTTGTCCTCAAATGATTTAGTCTCCTTGGCTAAAGGAGAAAGTCCTACAGCACAGCCAGAACCTCACGGATAATCTGTCCGAGCTGAAAATGTACGTTTTCTCCCAGCATAACCATGTGCTTACTGCGACAGAGGGAAACAAGCTGCTCAACGCCAAGCACCTTCACGTGCCACCCAGCCCGAGAGGAGAAAACTTTAAAAAAATCAGAAGCACGAATATTATTTGATTTGCCCGGCATTCCATCTCCCACATTAGCTCTTGCTTATAAACAAAATCACAATTTTCACATTCGGAGAAAATCAACAGCAAGAGGACTTACCTTCCTTCAACCAAGAAATGTTATTTTTGTCCTTTTCAAAATGCTCAGCTGCTCTTACTTTTATGTTTTCCAGCTCAGTTTCTGACATCTAAGAGGAAACACAATTTGTGATATAAAAAAAAAAATGTTTAAGAACCCAAATTTGTGACATTGATCTTTATATTTAGAGACTAATGCCATATTGTAGGAAAGCGTTTTCCCTATAGTTTTGCAGTTCACTGCCTAAAGTTGTCTTACATTTTATCCATTTGTAGTATTTTAAAACATTAATATTGAAAACTAAACTTTATATAATATTTCATTTCCCAGCAGCAGAGTGCTATAAGATTTTATAATTTATGAATATGAGAGAATAACAGATTAACAACTAGCCACAGATTTGTAAAAAACAAACATTCTGTTGCTGTTTTCATGTTTTTAATAGTCTATAGAAAAGCATGTTGCAAAGTGATATACAGAGATATGCATAATAAGAAAACATAAGAGCACATTTTCAGCCATTTATTGGGCTGAATGAGAACCCTATGGGCTGAGACAGGCCTGGAGCTCTGGAAGGTGAGGCGATCTCCCTGGACCCCACTGCACCCCTCTTCCCGGCCTCTCTAAGGAGCTGGGCTGACCTTGCTCCGGCACCGCGGTGCTTACCTGGGATCCAGGAGGAGGCCCAGGGGCCAGGCAGTGTGCGAGGCGCTGGGCAGCCTTCTCCTTGCCTCCCGATGCCCAGCATTCCTCCCTCTCCCGGCCAGAAATGAGCAGGGAAGCGAAGCACTCCCTGCCGGTGGTGCTACGTTTGTAACGCTGCCAAAGCATCCAACTTGTGGCTGAGAGCTTTTTTAAGGTCATATAAAGCCTGTGGTTCAAACAGTGAAAACCTCCTCCAGGCCAGCACCGATCTAAAACGACACTCTGCGAAAGTGGGAGAAACAATAGCCTTCCCACCCTGACAGTGTCTTCACCCCTTCCTTCCACACCCGCCGCTCATCCTTGGGGTAACATTAGAGGGTGAGGAAGAATATGCAGAGACGACTTGGGTTAAAGGCAAAGGAAAGAACACCTCTGAGGCTTTATTCTTTAGAAGTTCATCCTGCAGCAGAAACATTGAGAAACAAGTTTTCCTAACTGTATAGGAAACAAGAAAACAGATCCGGTTCTGTGGAGAGTCTGCAGATGTCCCAAAAGGCTGTGAAATAACATTTCAAAGCGGTTTTGTCATTAGATTCTCAGTCAGAGCTAATACTGTTTCCAACAGAGGTTGGTGCAGGAGGCACAGCCCTTAGGCATGCGTGCTGACAGAGCCCACGTCCTGGCCGGCCTGTTGTTCGCCAAGGAGAGTCGTTGCTGGTGTTGGCCACAGGGTCCCTCCCAGGGTCTCCACCAAAGGCTCTGTTTTCGCATCACCTGGCACCCCTTACACCCTGTTTCCCAACTTCATTTCTTGTGCTTTGCTCCAGTTTCATTGGCTTTGAAAACTACCTTGATCAGCCAATTTCCACAGTAAGATGACTTTCAGCTTATCCCATGATCCCATGATCGATAAGGCAGCTTCCAGATTCCTTCGACAGCTCAGGAAGACCTTGAAGAGTTAGATTTTATAACATGATTCTCAAACTGGCTAAAAGCGAAGCTTCCTCCGCGGTACCTATCCTTTCACTCCAACCTCATTGTAGCGCTGCAGGTCCTGAACTTGCCTGCTTCTATAACTGACATTCCAGAACTGCTTCCTCAAACCTCACCTCCACCCGCTCCAGGAAGCCCTCCGGGCCTCTCTCATGCGGAAGTGATCCGGCTCTTCTATGTCCCAAGCGGGGCTCCTGGCCTGAGCCCCCGCACTTTGCTCTCCGTGTGCCCGCCCATCTCCCCGACAAGACTACCCCTGAGGACTCAGCCCTGCCCCACGTTCCATGCGTCCGGCTCAGTGCGTGGCAGGACCACACAAAGATGAATGACGGCGAGATAAACAAAACCGAATGAATATCAAACACCAGCGGTGCCTCCTTTCCCAAAGCGGTGGGCACGCCTGATGGCGCAGAGGAGCCGGCTCCAGGCCTGGCGGCCTCCACTGGGGCGGCAGGGGTCCCCGGGCAGCGACCTCACCAGTGCTGACCAGGCAATTTCCGGTGAGCTCTTTAAATTTCACTCCTGGGGGAGACTGCAGCTGTAATTAACCTCGATTTTAAGTCTTGGCTTGGTAATGTGAGCTTAACACAAGTGCCTCCATTTTGGGCCTGATATCTCTCTCTTTTTTTATATATACATATAATATAAGTCAAGCTACAGGTTACTTCTTTTTTTAAAAATATATTTTTATTGATTTTTTACAGAGAGGAAGGGAGAGGGACAGAGAGCTAGAAACATCCATGAGAGAGAAACACCCATCAGCTGCCTCCTGCACACCCCCCACTGGGGATGTGCCTGCAACCAACCTACATGCCCCTGACTGGAATAGAACCTGGGACCCCCCAGTCCGCAGGCCGATGCTCTATCCACTGAGCCAAACCCATCAGGGCCTGATATCTCTCTCTCTCTCTCTCTCTCTCTCTCTCTCTCTCTCTCTCTCTTTTTTTTTTTTTTTTTTTTTTTTTTTTAACAAAGTGTGTGAGATTACTTAAATTTTCTGTATGGAATTTTCTTTCATTTTAAAGGGCACCATTTTTTTGAATTTAGATAATTAATTTTGAATTCTATTCCTGTCTTTGTATGTGTAATCATTCTTTATGAGAGCTGTAGATGTTAAGCATTATATTCAATTTTTTCATCTTCTTCATCAATAAAGATAAGACTAGGCACCAAGATAAACTGTACACCACCAGTGCTTGTACTGGACGTTGCATTGAGTGCATTCCATACAGATGCCAGCCTTTAAACCAATTACTCATTTGCTTAGAGGCGCTCTTGGGCCGCAGAATTCTCCATCTGGGTGAGAGCCTGCTTTACACTGGGATTTTAGTCTCGAGCTGGACTGGGGCTTGGAATGAATGAGCCAGCCCACAGCTGAGGATAAGAAGGAAGGAGAAACCAAGTCTGATGAACCGCAGCAGAGCAGACTGAGAAGCAATAGATGGTCCAAAATGAAGCTCTAAAGTCACAGGCTAACTCATGCAGACCCGGAGGCGCAGCCTCCAGGTTCAGATTTCTTGATAAACTCTGTTTTTGTTGTCTTGTCTAAATAAAGGTAGTTTGAATATGCTCTTATTTTATAACCTTGTGCCTTCTATTTTGACTCATGCATCCATGTATCTAGTTCCTACTCAAAATCTGATCCAGAGACAAAAGCTTCAGGGGAAGGCAACGTTTGCCAAGAGAAAAACCTGCAAAATCATCATATATTTTATGTTTCTGTTAAAATAAAGTTGAATGATTGAAGCTAGAGATTTCTTTAAGAAACAAATAATTATGTGCTATCATTAGTCTTTCCCCCCAAAATCACCACAGTCACTTGCCGTTGATTATAAAACAATGAAATTATATGTATGATGTAACAATATGATATAATCAATGTGTAGAGAAGTCGCCGACTCAGATGGAGCGACTGAGGACTGTAGTTTGTAGCGTGGAGCTGTGGAGGGCTTGGTGGAGGGGTCAGTGGACGTGGAAGGGAGGGTGTACTGCTGCTTTCACAGCATGTTTATGCTGCAGCACTGAACCTCTGTGTCACTTAGGGTAGTTCATTATTCTGATGACCAATACACGCCATTACATATTTTGCATTTAGGATATTCTTTTGGGGATTTTGTGGCCTTGATACAAAAATGCACATGGAATAAATAAATGTTGGCCCAAAGTATCAGAGGCAAAGTAAATACAACAAATCACACAAGCTTTGCCAGGGGAAGGTTACAACTAACCCCACACAGCCTACCAATTACGGGTTCATTAGATGTTAGAACTCATCAAAAGTGTGGCTTTAAGAACTAATACTCAGGGACATAAAATGAATTAAGTTTTATACTTGTTTCATGTCAGATCATTAAGAAAAAGCTGTTTACCTTCAAATTATTTTTATGCCTTATCAAGCTGCTTCCGCTGAGAGACCTTGGCTGGCATTGATAAAGACATAAGAATAAACACGTGAATGACACTTGCTAGGAGGTTTATTATGAAGATTTTAGGTTCTTCAGGATTACGGTATGCTCTGTTAACTAAGTGTAAATATTGTCACACTTCATGTAAAATGTAATAATTTTATAACTGTATCATTCCACTTATACACTCTCTTCTTTGTACTATTATTTTTAAAAGTTGTACATCTGCAAATGTTATAATCTGTTAGGAAGTGTGTGTGTTGTGTGTGTTTAAATAACAGTTGTCTTTTAAAGTAATTAGGAGAAGAAAAAAATGATAATTTTTTTAAATGTTTACTCCCATCATACCATTTTTAGTTCTCTTTAATTCCTTCTGGTAGACTTGGATTATCATTTGATTTCATTCTTTTTTAGCCTAAAGAAATTTCTTTTGTTTTTTTAAAAAATTATCTTTATTGTTGAAAGCATTACAGTTATTTCCCTCGCTGCCTCCCCCCATTGGCCCCCTCTATCCCACTCCTGCCCCCCGCCCCTCAGGCCTTCACTGCACTGCTATCTGTGTCCATGGGTCATGCATATCTGCATATAAATTCCCTGGTTAATCTCTGCATTCCCCACCCCTGCCTTCCCTCTGAGATTCCCCAGTCTGTTCTATGCTTCTATGTCTCTGGATTTATTTTGTTCATAAGTTTATTTTGTTCATTAGATTCCACATATGAGTGAGATCATGTGACACTTGTCTTTCTCTATATTTTCATTTCCTCAACTCTCCTAAGACCCATAACAGGAGTTCAATGCAGTTACCACTTTGCGAGTCCTATACAGAATCACCTCCCTCACCCCCAGGGCTGCTTCAGGTCCGCCAGGAGCCTGTTTCTTGTCCGTGACAGGTTGTATCAGAAATAGTGATCTACGCTGGCCAACCCAACATTCTCTCTCCCCAAAGTTTGAATTGTCCAATCACTAGGATTTATCAGCTTAAGCCACGAGGGTTGTCTAAGTCATGTAGGGTGGCCAGTTCAAGCTGTGGAAAGTGGAGAAATTGGGGAGTTGAGGGAGGGCAAAG